AAAAAAAGTGAGTAAGCAGGGTTGGGGTTGTAGCTCAGTGGTGGAGCACTTGCCCTGCACATGTGAGGCCCTGGGTTTGATCCTCAGCCCCACATAAAAATAAACAAATAAAATAAAGGTATTGTATCCATCTACAACTAAAACAAAAAATATTTTTTAAAAAGTGATTAAGAAGGTTCTAGTAATGTTTATTTCTTCCCTGGTTGAGACTTCCTCCCACTAAATGAAGCAATTTTTTCCTCATTCTCTTTCCAAGTAAAGAGGAATACTGAAGAAAACAAAATCTGTTTGCTTTCTTCCAGCTCTAATGATTTTGAACCTAGTAACTCTTCCTAAAGCATCTCTACATATTGAAACTAYAAAGCAGCAAAATGTGTCCTAATGACATACCAGAAACATTACTTGCTTAATTTTCTCCTAAACAAAACTTCAGGTGTTGGATATAGTTAAGTGGCACAGTGCCTGCCTAGAATACTGGGAGGCCCTGGTTTTGATTCTCAGCACTGAAAAAAGAAAAGAAAAAAAGAAAGAACAGAAAAAGAAAAACATAATTGAAAAATAAATATAAGCAAAGGGAATGACACATACATGYGAAAGTCAGTTTTTCAAAAAATTACCAGGTTATTATTCCCCACTCATCTAGTATTGACATGTCATCCTCTATAGCATATGTATTCACAGAAACCAGGAATCTTAAGTATGGCCTATGGGCCAAATCTGACTGTGGACTAAGGGTTCTTACATATTTAAAGGGTAMGGAAAAAAGAAAACAAAGAATATGCGACAGACACTGACCATATTTGGCCTGCAAAATTTTACTATTAAATATTTACTATAAAAACCTAAAATTTTTACTATTTAGTCCTTTATAGAAAAGACTGCAAGTCACTGCTAGAGAAAACAATGAATATATTCATAACATAAAAATTAAATATCTTAATATAATAAAAGTCACATTTATTACCTGTTCATAATTTAAACGTTGAATTTCTGAAATTTCTTTTGGCTTCGAATCAAGCATGTAATCTCCTGTAAAAACAAAATTGTGAAATTGCCTTTTTTAAATGTTAATTTTTTTGTTTATAAAATTAAGCTTTCAATTATAAATTTTTAAACACTGGATCAATAGAGGATATAAATGTTGACCCCTCAATTCTATCCAGAGAAAAGCAATAACTGTTTGCTATCCTCAGATTTTTTTTCAATGTACTTAAAAATACCATTAAATTTTTCTTATCTCCCATTTTATAATACATTTGAGTTTCTTTATATATTACTACTCCCAAACATTGTAACAACTTCTATTGCTATCAATCAAATATTCCTCTAATTACTTCATTAACAGTGGGTGTTAAATATCCAAAACTCAGAAAAACCAAAATTTTTTTGCATTAAAAAAT